TGCAGGGTGTTTGTATTTGTGTGAGATCCGTGAAGGAATTGCGCCAGCTTGGCCTGTCTGAGATGTGAGCGATGAACGCCTGCTATCTAAGAAAAGAGTGTTTGTAGACTACGTAGCTCGCCTGACTTTCACTCCCAATCTCCAGAATTTTTAAAAAATCTCGCATAAATTATGAGGGGCTATCTCATGATTTCAGGTCTATTCCTCAATTCAGGGGTTTTGGCTTCTCTGGGCATGGCCTCGCCCGATGGAGCTGGCGAATCTGTACACGGCATTGGGCGTCTCGGTCTCTGCAGGGGAAGCTGACATCCGTTCTGCCTATCGCAGGAGGGCGCTGGCAACGCATCCAGACACTCGGATGCCCAGTAGTACCCCCTATTCCCTTTTTTGGGGGGGGTTTAGGTTCCCTTATAAACCCCTTGAAGCCCCCCCAAAAAAATGCACCCTTTTTTGAATCCATGGTTCTTGAGCAGCCTAGGACAAAGGAGGCAGTGCAGAAGCGTTTAGGCTAGTGGTTCAGGCCTTTGAAACCCTGGCCGACCCCCACCGGCGCATGGCCCATGATCGCGAGCTCGAGCGCGCAAACTCGGCGCCGGCCAGTAAGACGGAAGCGCCCGAGCGATCGCCCAAACCCAAGAAGAGATGCCGTCAACTTTGTCATGATCGGGTAGCATTTTGTGCAATTTTGTACAGGGTACTTAAATCCAATAAGGAAGAGGAGTTTGAGTTTGCAATACTATCCCAACCATGAATCAGGTCAACAGGGGCCAAGGGAGTCAAAATCAGCGGAGGCCAAGCCCAAGCGTAGATGCCAGGCGCCGCCTGGCGACCAGAGCACTGGTTCACCGCCGCCCGAGGAGATCCCCAAACTGGCACAGGAGCTCTTGGGACCGAGGCACAGATCCATTCCCTCCCGCTTGAAGAAGTTGGTGGTGGAAGTGCTTCGTGAACTGTTGACGTTTCTTGAGACAACCGGTGTCCACGCTGCATCGGAGTTCGGTGAGGACGAAGAGGAGCCAGACGCATCGGCACCCGACAACGACCCGGAAGATGTCCTCCCTCTTTGTGACGATGAATGCCCGGATCTTCTTTGTGAAGATGGCCTTGAGAAGGAAACTAAGCTTCAACCCGACTGCAAGGGTCCTGGTCGAAGTGGTGTCAGGGGTGTAACTTTATATCGCGTTGGTGCGTATGCCAGATATCGAGCGAGCGTGGGACTCAAGGGCATCATTGCACTCACGCAGTACTGCAGTAGTTTGGACACGATCATTGACTTCCACATGAGTCTGGTACAGATGCGCCATCGCTTCATGAAAGAGTGCGAGGCTGGCAAACCCTTCGGCCAAGCACTAGACCTTGCAACTGAGCAGCTGCATAGGGAAAGGGAAGGAGCAGATGCACCAAAGATGAGGCTCTCGTTCCTGTGCCCGCGTGTGACAGGCGGTCGAAAATCAAGTCTGGATGAGATGAAGTTGGTGGGGCAAGCTTACCAAGAGGCTCTTGCTATGGGACGCGAAGAGAAGCTGACTCGCTGCAGTATGTGCGTGCAGGAAAGGGCAGAAAGGAAGCAGGAACGAAGAGAAGCAAAGCACGCAGCAAAGCACGCAGCCAAAGTGCAGGCCCTGCGCACAGCTCTGCAAACGGAGCTTGGGAGGCGTGCGCAGCAAGCCTGTGGTGTGAAGACGCTGCCCCAGGGCATAGTCCTCGCCAGTCTGCCGGGAGTCCGACAGCCCAACACGTGCTTGTGCCTTCGCCCATAATTAGTACAATGCGTTCGTGGCATTAAGACAGAATAAGCTCTTCAGCAACACAGAGTTCTATGTTGGCTCAGCTTCGACTACAGCATTTTAAGCCTCCCCCCCCCCCCCCCCCCCCCGCCGTGGCTACGTAGACTCCGTCGGATGCAGCCTCCAAGGTGTGCACAGCTTCAGCTACAGGATGGTTCTCTTTGTCAGGGCCCTCTCCGTGCGAGCCTGGTCCTAGCGAAGCGCGACGTCCAAGAACTCTCGGCCATCCGAGAAGCAAAGGGCGACGACGCGGTCCTGGAGGAAGCCTCCCGGAGAGATGCGGACGTCATGACTTCTTTCTTCATGATTGGTCGGCTGGCGTGACAGAAACACAGATTTGCAGGTGCCGGGACCTGTTCTCATGAATCCGATGGCGAGTTTTTTATCCTGAGCCCTATCCCATCGGACTCATCTGCCTAAGCTCTCCTGAGTTCAGTCTGGAAAACTGTAGGAATAAGCATAGCAAACATGCACCTTCTCGTGTGTCAGATAGGCCCTAGTTCCTTATCCGTAGACACAAACCTCGAATGTCACCTTGAAGAGAGAGCGTTTGAAGCATTTGTACATGAACGGTATTGATTTGCAGGGGTTTTGCAGGCCTTCCTGTAAGTGTTTCGGACCATAAGTCTGAGTACTACGCTTTTGCTTGAGCTAAACTTCATAAGCCTAGAGTCCCTTTTCCGGCAACCGAAAGAGAACGACACCTGTACGATAAGCACGCAAGAGCTGAGGGCTCGGGGTTTAGGGCTTCCCTTTTGTCGGGGCTTGCGTTCTGTTAAACCCTAAACCCTAAACCCTAAACCCTAAACCCTAAACCCTAAACCCTAAACCCTAAATCCTAAACCCTAAACCCTAAACCCTAAACCCTAAACCCTAAACCCTAAACCCTAAACCCCTTGAATCCAGAAGGGTTTCGGGTCTGCTGTTTAGGGTCCTAGTTTTCTCTGGAACAAAGTAGCATGCCCATCGCAGGGGCCGAGTCGATGTCAGTTGCTTTGGTGTTTAGGGTTTAGGGTTGAGGGTTGAGGGTTTGGGGCTTAGGGTTTCTAAGAGCAATGCGTTAGGGGTTGTAAGGGGAGCATGCTGGTGGTTAGCCTCGATAGCTACAGGTGCCCGGGCCTAGAAAATCCTGAAGCCTTGGGATGTTCCCCCGTATACTAGCAGTCCTTAATGGGGATTACAGTACCCCCCCCCCCCCCCCCTGTTAGAATCCCAATTAAGGACTGTTAGTGTTAGGGGGCACATCAAACCCGACCAGGCTGTCCCATTACTTGTTGTTTCGGAGGTCATGCTCCCTAAGCAGGGGGGGGAGTTGTAGCCTGCAAACCCCTAAGCCCTAAACCCCAAACCTCCTGCAGCTTGGTTTAGGGTTTAGGGTTTAGGGTTTAGGGTTTAGGGTTTAGGGTTTAAGGTTTAGGGTTTAGGGTTTAGGGAAAGCTCCTTCAGCCCAGCAAGCTCAAACCCCCAGGAGCCAGGAGAAGGGGCAGGCGCGACATGAATCCATTCCTCAAGGGGAGTAGTGGGGAGGTTTACGGATCCTTGAGGGTTACATACCCCCTGGAACCCCCCCCCCATTAAGAACCTTATAATTAAAGGGCTTTTTGAGTTTTGGGTGTTGAGGTTTGTATTTCGATGAAGCTCAGAGCCCTGTTTCACCCAGGGCTCTGAGCTTCATGCTTTAGCCCCTCTTCGCTGCATGCTTTAGCCCCTCGGGGTTAGTTTCGCATGGTTAGGGGGCTTTCTCATAGGGGTCCTAGGGTATACTTAGCAGACGCTTCCAAGTAGTCCCAGGCAGATCTCTGAACTATCTCAGCTGCTCCAGGCACACCAGAGAGTTTAGGGTTTAGGGTTTTGGGTTTAGGGTTTAGGGTTTGTTCCCGGTTGGGTAGATAGGGCGTAAACTCCAAACCCTCAGGTCTGGGGGACAAATCCGGAACCCCGAGCCCGAAACTTGCCTACAGGTGGTAGGGTTGAGGTTTTAGGGTTTAGGGCGGTTGCTCAAAACAATGGTTTAGGGTTTAGTAGGGTTTACCAGCAAGAGCCATCATTGAAGTGTAGCCCTGCATCCGGCAGGATTGCCAGGTAATTCCCAGCGGAGAGCCTGCCCGTGGTGCAGGCTGTGGGCCCAGGATGCACCTTGTGAAGTTGGGTTTAGGGTTTAGGGTTTAGGGTTTAGGGTTTAGGGTTTAGGGTTTAGGGTTTAGGGTTTAGGGTTGAGGGTTTAGGGTTTAGGGTTTAGGGTTTAGGGTTGATCTCGTGGGAAAATTTATCTGACGGAAATCGATTGCAAGCCCAGCAGGAAGAGCTAAGGGGTATGAGGAGGGACCCCTAGAAGGCCCCTTAAGAACCCCGAAGGTCCCTTATCAGGGTCCCTCCTTTCATCCCTTGAAAGAAGTTTGCAAAACAATCCCACACTCTGGGCCCTGAGTCGAGGTTTGGTAGGCTTCGCCTGAGCCAAGGCCTTGGCCATGGGATTAACCTGAAGATGACATCCTCCCTCCCAGCCTTCGTGGAGATCCTTTGCGAGTCTGCCCCCAAGCTTTGGGATGAACGGGTGGTTGGGGGGTTCAGGGACGCGGTGACTTTAGTGTTTGCTTTTGATGGGTCTGCCATTGTGGGTTGTCTGCCTTTTTGATTGTCTTGCAGTGTATCAGAGGCGGAGGAAGGCCCCAAATGTTTGCATGCAATAGATGTCCGCACGCACGGTAAACTGGGGTCAGGGAAGGTAAGGTAATGTATTGAATTAGCCAGTGTACGAACGAATGAACCATTGAGCTGAAAGCAAGTGACTTAGTCAGGGTGCAACATGCCACGCATGAATGGTTCAGCAGCTGGGTGCTACTGTCCGCGGCATCTAGCGAGAGCGTACACAAGCAGTCGACTCCACCCTGCATCACAGCAACGAGCCATGAGCATGAGCAGAAGGGCCAGTCGCGCCAAGTGCCTGGCCAAACCAGACGAAGCGTGATGCTTGAAGTAAGCTTCTTGCTTGAGCTGGAGCCGTTTTGTCCGGTTGGGCCAGGGGCCACGATGCAAAGTGGCTTTCTGCCAGTGCTACTCACAAGGTACATAAGTTGTAGGCTCGGGACGAAATCGGCTCGGGACTTGGCCGCGGCAAAGTTTGCCGAGACATGCATGTGCGTATGTGCTTGCATGTGCTTGCATGCGTACGTTCGCCCGAAAATTTTTTCGAATCATACCCCTTCATCCCACGCCTCCCCGAGGTTGGACAAACACTGCGTGGAGTTGGGCGGCGTGCTGCCGGCATTCTTGGGAGCAGCCCGAGCCCAACCCCAAACTCCCTACAAAACCATCAACGCCTTGCGATGTTCCCCCTTGTAGTAACAGTCCTTAATAGGGATTATAACAGCGGGGGGGGGGGGGGGTGCTAGAATCCCGATGAAGGACGGTTAGCACAAGGGGGAAAATCCCAATCAACACCCCCTAAACCCCAAACCGCTAAATTTCACAAAACTTCACCAAACCAGACTTGAGACCCTTTTTGCATCCCTGCAGGGTGCGAGGCTGCTGGGGAGGTCGCACAAAAGCCCCCCCAAAACCCCAGACCCCCAAATCCGAATCCCAACGCCAGGTGCAGAACTTCAAAGGCAAGCCGAAGATCTCCCGGAAGGCCATGCCCGGTAGTGGGGATGGGGTCGGTCGGGCCGCCTTCTGAAAGAAAGTGGACCCCAGAACCGGCCAGTGCAGCGCGGCAGTTGCTTTGATAAGAAGATATAGAAATACGTATACGATACTAATATGTATCGAATACACGCACACAATAGCATATCTATGTATATCTATATCTATATCTTTATCTATATCTATATCTATGTCTATGTCTATATCTATATCTATATCTATATCTATATCTATATCTATATCTATATCTATATCTATACGTACAATATGTAACAACATATATAACAGCATGCAGTAACATAGACAAACAAGAATAACGACAGTAGGAAACTTTTAGTAAACACAGCAATAAATCAGCCCTTTCGTGAGCATTTTGACAGAGGTGTAATGTATAATGTTCGAAATGATGACTTCAACCGGCAAGTTGTAGCACCCAGAGACTGCAAGAGTCGATGGCGGACGCATCCATGTTTTGCTCCATGTGTGCTTGTGCGTCGCGGTGCCTCTGCGATGCAAAGTGAGCCTCACGCGGCTCCGAAGCCCATGTAAATTAAACCCTAAACCCTAAACCCTAAACCCTAAACCCTAAACCCTAAACCCTAAACCCTAAACCCTAAACCCTAAACCCTAAACCCGTTAACTTTGGCTCAAGCAATTTGTTTTGCTCAGTCTCCAGGGTGGCATCCCAAGGAGGTTTACGCTTGCTTTGTCCCTTTCGTCGAGAATGGGACCTCTTCTACCGCTCTTCTTTGCGGCCGCTGTTCCCATCATCGGGGCGCAGGCCCCGAAACCCTCGATACCCTACTGTAAACCCTAAACCCTAAACCCTAAACCCTAAACCCTAAACCCTAAACCCTAAACCCTAAACCCTAAACCTAAACCCTAAACCCTAAACCCTCAGGACACGCTGCGCATCGCAGGCTCTTCCACCGTCTATCCCGTCGTCAGCGCATGGTCGTCCACTGCAGACATGCAGGCTCGCTACAACCTCATTGTCGAGGGAGGTGGCTCCAGTTCGGGTGCTCGGCGCGTGTGCGCCGATCGCGCGGACCCGACGCATGTTGACATCGGTGACATGTCCAGGGACTGGAAAGATTCCGAGGCTCTACGACTGGATGATGGCTACACCTTGGAGTGCCTGAACAGCAAGCAGCGCGTGACGCAGATCATTGTGGGCATTGACGGCCTCGGTGTTGTGGTGGCCAAGAACGGTGCCGGTCACAACTGCATCACCGACCCCTCCATGGGCGGCCTCACCCGTGCGCAGCTGCGCTGGATGTTCAGCGACTGGACCGACGCCCAGCTTGGTGAAGATGGCTTGGACATGGCTTCAGTGCTCCCCAATGACGACGGCGACAACATAAAAGAGTGGAGTGACCTCAGCCCTCAGTGCGAGGAGGTGCCCATAAACGTCTACGGGCCCGGCTCGGCATCTGGTACTCACGACTTCTTCGCCGAGGTGGTGCTGTGCAAGAGCTGCTTTGAAGGCAAAGCAGGCTACACGCCCGAGCACTTTCCGACCTGCGACCACACGCTGAACCAGAACCTCGAGGCATTGACTGCGGACGCGGATGTTGAGAACTTCATTCAGACGCAGCGGCCGATCAACTGCTACATGGAGTCGGAGGTCGATGAGAAGATCCTGCAGTGGACCCTGGCGGACTATGGAGGGGTGGCCTACTTCGGCTTCGCCTACTACGCACAGAACTCGGCCACGCTGACGGTCGCCAGGATCGCCGAAGACACGGTCAAGGGCGTCAAGGACACGCTGGACGCGAAGGTGGAGCCTTCCAGCTATTCCATCACGGATGGCTCCTACGCGGTCTTCCGCCGCATGCTCTACATGAACGTGGACAACGAAGCCTGGAACCTGGCGCAAGAATTCATGCAGTACGGCTTCACAAACGCTGGTCAGAAGGCCGTCTCTGACGTCGGCTACGTCGCCATCAACGCCAATCTCCGGAACAAGATGGATCAGCGGATCGCCCAAAAAGGCAACGCTGAGGCGGACTATGTTCCGGTGCAGCCAGAGGTTTGCTTCAACGGCACGGAGCTCGTGGAGGAAGAGTTCCTGAACCAGTTCGGCAATCCGAAGATTCGCTACAGCTGCAACGACTGCGCCCCAGGATATTTCAAGCAGCTGAACACGCCGACGAAGTGCCGGAAATGCCAGCCTGGCGCAGTCACTTCGAGTCCCGGGCAGTCCGCCTGCGAGTTCTGCCTTCCGGGGACGTTCGCAGAAGAAGGCTCCACGAACTGCACGGCTTGCCCGAAGAACACCATCGCAGCAGCTCCAGGTGCTGGCCGCTGTGACGCCTGCAGCGATGGGTACCAGACGGAGACCACGGGATCCTCCTCCTGCCTCCGTTGCGGCCTGGGAGCTTTCCGCACTCTGGCCGACGCCGCCTGCGTTACCTGCGCGGCTGGGCTCACGACTGCCTTCATGGCTGCAGAGAAGGCCGAGGATTGTGTCTGTGAGGCAGGGACCTATCGGAACCTCTTCGGCAGCTGCGAGCCGTGTCCAGAAGGAATGACCTGCCCTGTCGGGAGCGACATGGCTCACTTCCACAACGCGACATCCTTCTCCATCCACACTCCCTACCCGCAGCTGAAGCTGGGATACTACTCAACGTACAGCGACCCACTGAGCGTCTACAAGTGCCTACAGGAGGAGATCTGTGCTGGGGGCGACCCTGAAAGTTGCGAAGGAGGTCTGGTCGACCTCGTGTGCGCGCGCTGTCCAGCTGGCCAAGAGTGGAGGGCTGGCGAGTGCGGCGCTTGCCAAGGAGGATCCGGCAGCCCCTTGCTCATCCTTTTCGGCCTCGCAGGATGCGTGGGGGTCATCGTGATGCATGTGATGGCGAACTGGCCACTTGTGAAGGGAAACAGGACGGTCATGACGGCCGTCTACTTTTGTGGTATGGCGGCAACGGTCGTGCTCACCTTCGGTGTCTATGGGACACTGAATGCCGTGTGGGGTCCTCCGATGAGCAACTTCATCCCGAGCTTCGGCATCCTTTCCTTGAACATGGAGTTTTTCTCCTTCTCCTGCGTCATGGGTGAGAAGTCCTTCACCGCAGAGTACGTCGTGAAGCTGCTTGCTTTCCCGATCCTCTGCCTGGTGGTCTTCTGGGGCTCCTACCTGTTGAAGCACGTGCCGAAAGCGAAGCTGTATGCCTCGTTCAATCGCCCAGCCATGCTCAACACTGCAGGATTCCTGATGTCGGCCTTGTTCGTCTCTGTCAGCTTGATGAGTCTCGAGGGCTTTCGCTGCAAGGCGAACCCGAATGGCAAGGCTCTTCTGCAAGCCTTTGGCGCCATGGTTTGCTGGGAGGGTGGCGAGCACAACGTGCTGATCGCACTGAGCGTGGTGGCGATCCTTTGCTATCCGGTCACCTATCTCACTTTCACAGGCATTGCCTCGTTCGGCTTCGGGCCTTTGTCGGTGAAGTATGGAGTGCGGTTCACCTCAGCCATCCGATTCCTTTCCGGGAGGATGAAGCCCGAGTATGTCATGTTTGGCTTCTGGTGGAACGTGAGGAACTTCATGATCTCTCTTGCACCGGTGGTAGCCAGCAACAACTACGGGGGCCAGATCATCCTCATCTTGGCCGTTTTTGTCTTGTGGCTCATCGGCCAAGCGAGGTCCCAGTGCTGGCGCTTCGAGCTTCTCAACCTGTTGGACATGATCGTCAGCGGCGTGCAGATCATGATGCTTTGCCTGTTTGGTCTCTTGGCGGACGACTCCATTGATCGCGTGATGGTGGGATGGTGCATCATCACCATCTTCTTATGCGTCCTCGTGCTGCTGATCACGATGGCCACCGTCAAAATCGTGCTCCACCTTCGCAGCAAGACAAACTACGACGTTTTCCTGACGCACCACAAAGCTGCGGCGGCTTTGTCTGCCAGGCACTTGAAGACGCTCTTCAACGCGTGCTCTACCCTCAACGTCTTCCTGGACGTCGATGAGTTGGACAACCTCGACAACCTTGGCTTCGCTGTGAAGAACACCCGGAAGCTCTTGGTGATGCTCACAAGCGACGTACTTCGCAGACCCTGGTGCGCCGTGGAGATCGGGACTGCGCATTTGAACAAGGTACCCTTGGGAGTGGTGGATATCAACCAGGATTCGGTTGAGCTGTCTGACAAGTTCATTGCCGATGTGGTGACGTCGTTCAGCGCGGCTGACCTTGGCATCTTCGCCAAGAATGGCATCACAACAAAGGATCTGGAGAACGCCTACCAGCATTTGGCCACTCTTCCGAGGATCCGGTTTCCGCTCAATGTGCCCATCGAGCGGCTGCAGTTGGACGCCGTGCTTCAAGCGGCCGGACAGGAACTGGCCCCCTTGCTGAAGAAGCCGAAGGTGGTCCCTCTGGACCCAGAGAAGGTGGTCTACATCGTCTTCAACACGCGCGATGACTCCCAGTGCAGCGTTGCCTTCCTTCTCAGACATGAGTTTCGCCAACGCCGCTGGGATGCCAGGCTCTTCTGCCCCAGCAAGGACATGATGCAGCGCACCCCGTCCCTTGGGGATGCTTGGAAAGAACAACTTTTTGGGTACTTTAATTCCGAAGAAACAGCGAGAAACTTAGTTTTTTGGCGAGGGTTTTCCAAGTTCAGTATAGGTCTGGTACTCAGAAGCTGCGGCGAGCACGTGAATCCGAGCCGGTCGACTTCGATGGTGTTCTCCCGGTGGCAACCAAAGCCGTGGCCGTAGTGCTGCTAGGACCCAAAGTAGGCCCTCATTTTCCTTCTTTAGGGTTCAGGGGTTCCCTTACGTTCCCTTATAATCCCCTTTAAACCCAAAAGGGGTACCCAATTGTTTTTTTCCGAGGCTGATGTCGAAGGGCCTGCCCTTTGATCCTGTTGCTCTTGGGGCGGCGGCCATCATCAAACGCACAGGTGGGTTTTGGGTTTAGGGTTTAGGGTTCAGGGTTTAGGGTTTAGGGTTTAGGGTTTAGGGGTTTACGATACTAGGTGGGGTCCTTTCTATACAGGGATCCTACCATTTGGGGGGTCTACATTAGGGGTCCCCCTATTCTTTCGAAAGCTCCCAGGTCTTGGCGCGCTCACAGTCTTGAGCCAAGAGTCCTTCTGGAAGCCGGATGAGGATATACCCTAAACCCTAAACCCTAAACCCTAAACCCTAAACCCCTAAACCCTAAACCCTAAACCCTAAACCCTAAACCCCTAAACCCTAAACCCTAAACCCTAAACCCTAAGCCGGATGAGGACTACTTCCAGCTGCTGCGCAAGGGCCATGTCTTGCAGGAGGAAGATTGCGATCTCGTGGAGCAAATCTTGCCAGGATATACCTTGGAGGACTACGAATTGCTTAAGAACTCCCGGTAACCATATTATCATAAGGGTACCCCTTTTATTTGGGTTGGTTATTTTAGAAGAGAGCCCAGAACCAAAAAACAAGGGTAAAGGGTAACACTGGGCTACTACTAATTGCTTAGGACCCCCCCCGCCCCCAAAAAAGTACAAAATATTCTTCCCTATTAAGGGTAATACAGGGATTATTGTTGAGATATTCCTTATTAAGGGTAATATAGGGATTAGTATTTTTTTATTCTTCTGGGGTTCTTAAGCAAACAGTAGAGGAGATATTTACGGTTTGGGAAACCCTAAACCCTAAACCCTAAACCCTAAACCCTAACCCCTAAACCCTAAACCCTAAACCCTAAACCCTAAACCCTAAACCCTAAACCCTAAACCCTAAACCCTAAACCCCATTAGAGGAGCTCGAAGATGCCTTGGCTCCCCTCTACAAGATCCTGGCCTGGGCTGTGAGCCCGGAGCAAAACCAGAATCTTCTCCGACAGGAGCCTTGGGGACGAAACGAACCCTAGAATTGGGGTTTAGGGTTTAGGGTTTAGGGTTTAGGGTTTAGGGTTTAGGGTTTAGGGTTTAGGGTTTAGGGTTTAGGGTTTAGGGTTTAGGGTTTAGGGTTTAGGGTTTAGGGTTTAGGGTTTAGGGGTCCTGTACCCTGATCTGCTATGATTCCTACTAGGGCATATGAACCATAAACCCTTTTAGGGTTCCTTTCGCCCCCAAGGAGTTCAGCATCGTGGAGGAGCGCGCCAAGAAAGAGTTGCAGCGGCGCATTGAGAAAGTTGAGGAGCAAGGTGCCGACGCAGTCGAGTGCTTCCCTCCTTCCATCACGCCCTACCACATGCGCAAGGAGGCGGCGCCGGAATCTGAGCACAGCGGCATCCTCAACCTCAGCGAGGTCGAGACACCCGTGTCGCAATCGCAGAGCATGGCCGTGTACGGCATCACCATGGAGGCGGAGCAACAGGTACAAACGGAGGTGTTCTGAAGGAACTCGCCCACCCCCCCATGCGGCTCCCTGGAGCCGGCAAAGTTTGCTGATTGGACAGTGGCCTGAGGCCACTTTTCGCCCGCAGAGGCCTGCATCTTCTGCTGCAATTTTGAAATCAAGTGGCCCCAGCTTGGGCATTGCCAAGAAAATGGGATATAGTGCTTACTATATAGGACCCTGCAAAGAGAAAAAAGAGCCTTGTCTGTGGCTTTGCAGCAGTCGTGCAGTTCTCGGACGACCTGTCCATAGGCTGTGTAGACGGGAAGCCTGTGGGCTTCCCACAGGGATTACACCGGCTCCCCGTACCTCAAAGGAAATTGACCTTTGGTTTTGGCCTTCCGGGCTCAAGAAGCCGTAGCTGAGAGCCCGTGAGTTTTTGATAACAGGAAAAGGGATCCCGCGAGCGCAGACCTGTAAGGTGCCCGCGTGGGTTTCTAAAGGGCCCAGCAGACCGGCAGGATGCCCCCTTTGCAAAAATGCCTTCTCGCCTCTAGGGTGTTGAGGAATCCGGGTGGTGGAAAGTGCATAGAGCCGTGCCCCACGAAGGTTCTGCTGTGCCCTTCCAGGCGCATTGTCCACGCATAGATACTTCGATCTGTCCGGGTACTTGCAGCCAAGGGGACGCAAGTCTGCGCAAGGCGCTGGATGCCCTCAGGGGCATTCTGGCTCGTTGGTTTGTGGTTGCTCTCAACCCAGGAACTCTTCCCCGCTGTGCTGAAAAAGTTGACGAGGATGCTGACGTCCGCAAGGGATGTGGAGTGAAGGTGGAACTACCTAGTGGAGCCCTTCGCCCTTTGTTTCAGGGCAAGGTTGTATAGCTTGGAATAGAGGTCTCCTTAGATACCTCACGAAGCCCTTATCCCCACGAAGGGCTTGGCCAGGGTTTTGGGGGCGCCAGCGGCATCCTGGCAATTCGTGCGAGATGCATGTGTCGCATGAGGGCCTGAACATCTGGAAGATTGTTCAACAATGCTGTCATGGTATGATTCAAGTTCCGTGTCTTCCATGTAACCTCTTCCGTGTACAAACTTAAGAATCTTCTCTACCAATGGTGTTCCTGCGTTCATAAAGTCGGGCACACCCCCTCCCCACAGCTTGGCATTGAAGGCCCTGCTCCCCGAAATAAGGGGGTCCCAGACTTTTGGTAATGCCCATGTTTTCGCCGCTTGAAGAGCCTCTGACAGGTTAAAGCTGCAGAGTTTCGAGCTGCCTACACCGACTATGAGGCTGGTTTAGGGTTTAGGGTTTAGGTTTAGGACTCTGAGGCTGCTGGAAGCTTCAGAAGCGGATGCTAGGGAGTAAGCCCATAAAGTTGGATCTAAGTACGATGAGTGCTGCTTGAAAAATAAGGGATGGTGATGTTGCAGCTTCTGGGAGTTTACACCTAAAGTGACCCCAAGGAAAGGTGCATGGGGGGCTTACGTGGGTTTCGATTGTTGATTCGCCAGGAGGTGTCGGGTCTCATTGCTTGGGAAGCTCGGTAGCCTCTTGAGCCAACCCACTACCTACTGCTTAGCTTGCATCATGAAGAAGCGACTGTGAGCTCTGTGGCTTGCGGATCAAGGAATCTCTACCATGTGTTTAGAGCTTAGGTTTGGGGCTTAGGGTTTGGGGTTTGGGGTTTAGGGTTTAGGGTTTAGGGTTTCCCAAGTCTGTGCACCATTGTGCTGCAGTACATCTACCTCACCATTCTTGGGCTGCAGAACCTGGCCCTCGTCCAGGAGGAGCCTTGAGATTCCGAAAATGGGGGGTGCCCTTTTTGGGGGTCCCAAAATAAGGGGATTCTATTCTATTTGGGGTATACAAGGGGTACCCCTATTCTGGGACATGCCCAAATGAAAATGAGCCTGCTAGTACTTAGGCGAGGTGTCGGCGCTTTGGGGGAAACCTCTTCACGCCAAACGGTTCCGGCGGTCAATCGCAAGTGCTTGTCTCTGTTTCTGTGTGGTTGTGTGCATGTTGCAGTGTTTGGAAGCAGCTGGTCTGTTTGTGGTGCAGAAAGGTGAAACGCCCGCATGCGAAAGATTCAGAGTTCTATGTCAAGGGTGTGAGGGTGTCATGAAGCAACCAAGGCTTTTTGAGTTCCGCTTTATTTCTTTCCAGCACGCAGGAAATCGATACCAGAAACAACGGTCAGCTGGGGACTTGGCGATTTTTACAGCGACCTTCTCGGCTAGTCACCGCCCGCGTGTCACCACCCTTTGCGCAGGCACGGTGCTTTCCCAAAGCCCGAAATCCTGCGAAGTCCAACCCCTGATTCCAAGGTCCTTTGAGCGGAATCCCGGTGTCCAGCTGCTTGAGAAGACCTGTGGCATGACGATGCATGCCGAACGTGAGGCTTCCAGCCCCCAACGTCGGAAATATTGGGATTAAGTGTTCGTTTCCCCAAGACTCCCCAGAAATGGCCCCTACTAACCAGGATTCTTGAGGCCTTAAAGGCCTCGGGTACTTAGAGAGTCCACTGCTTGCCGCCCGTAGCCTGGTTGTGACACACTGACATCTACATTCCTATAGGGTTAGGATTCTTCTGGAGTGCAAGCTCCCTGGCAGCAATGAGACCAGTTGCAAAAGATAGCTTCCAGCACATCCAGCCCCAGAGCCGTGCAACCCCCGAAAGCCCTAAGCCCTTCTCATCATCCCTAAACCCTCAACGGGCTCAACCCTAGTAAACCCTAAACCCTAAACCCCGCTGGTAAACCAAAGTAGTGCGCTGGCATGTTTGTAAATCGTGAGCTCGGCCAAACACTCCATGTGAGCGTTACTAGCCGACTCCAGTTGACTTATGGCTGAACGATGTGGGTGCTCCGTGTTTTTGCGGCTGAGTGCTTGTTTGTTAAGTGCTTCAGTGTCTCGTTCAAAATCCTAACTGGACCAACACAGACTTTTCCCTCCGAGAACTCAACCCTGCCTGCGGTTCGGCCAGCAATGCGGGAGCGAAAAAGCACCCCAAACCCCAAACCCCAAACCCCAAACCCCAAACCCCAAACCCCAAACCCCAAACCCCAAACCCCAAACCCCAAACCCCAAACCCCAAACCCCAAACCCCAAACCCCAAACCCCAAACCCCAAACCCCAAACCCCAAACCCCAAACCCCAAACCCCAAACCCTAAACCCTAAACCCTAAACCCTAAACCCTAAACCCTAAACCCTAAACCCTAATCCACCCTAAGCCCATCTTGGCCAGGGTGCGAGGCACATTCTCCTCAGTGCCCCTGACTTGCTCCTACAGGCCTGGCAGCTGGTCTTTGGGGGGGGGGGGGGGTTTGGGGGTTCGGGGTTTAGGGTTTAGGGTTTAGGGTTTAGGGTTTAGGGTTTAGGGTTTAGGGTTTAGGGCGCGTCAACCCCGAACCGGACACGATCTGTTTGCTGCAGGTAGGTGGTGATCGGGGCCGTGAGTTGACAATGACAATGACGGTACAGATTGGCATGTTCCCTTATACGAACAGACAGTCCTTTATGGGGGTGGTACTAGGGGGGGACTATAATCCCATTTAAGGACTGCTAGTTTCAGGGGGAACATCCCAAGCTATAGGGCAAGTGGCTGCAAACTGGAGACCTACAGCGCAGCCCTAACTTCGCGCCTGGCGTCGGTGCCCTCGAAACCGAAACCCACCGTGAGCCCAACAACAACACAGCCAAACACCGCAGGGCCACATAAGAGAAGGGGTTTTTGCCAGGAAATGGTTATGACCAGCAGCATCAACCCGAGTACCCGGGTCGTAGTCAGGAGCCCGTATCCACTCGAATCTCTGCCTTGCCTGTGGGATTTTGGGCCGTGCTGGCTTAAGGCGTACGACGTGGCTCAGCCGGCGGCCCAGCTTTCGGCTGGCGAGAGGGAGCTCAAGCTGTGGTGGTGCATCTTGCGACTCTAACGGCATTCCTGCAAGAAGTGCCTAGGACCCATAGGTAGCAGTCACTGTGGAAGTCAGCTTGTGAAGACAGCTTGGCAGGGCATATGTTGAGGCTTGCAGGTCCGTTTGTCGCATGGCGCTTCTACCCCCCTGTAACGGTTGTCCGAAACCCTCAACCCTCAACCCTCAACCCTAAATCCTAAACCCCAAGCCATTCTCTCAGGAAGGAGCCAGATGGTCCCTTGGGCTTCTTCAAAGAGGCTTTCGATCGGCGGTCGGACCCGTGCGGGACGCGGCGGGGGGGGGGGGGGGGGGGATGGCAGGATGAGCCCAAGGCAGCTGCAGACCCTTACTCCCTTTCTGGTTTAGGGTTTAAGGTTAGGGTTTAGGGTTTAGGGTTTAGGAAAACTTGCTCCATGACAGGGCCTGTGACCCGAAATCTAAGATGCACACTCACGAAGCTTAGAGGATTCTGGAGGCTACCTGAATAGCTGCGGCTACGCCAAGGTGCTTGGAAGGGCGAGCTTCCAAACTGTCGGAGTACATCTGCCGTCGGGCAGGGCCCTCATGGAACAGAGTTTGGGATGTTCGCCCCTAAACTAAGGGTCCATGATCGGAACATCCCAAAACAGAGAACCATCACTTCTGCTTGAATTCGAGATGTTGACAGCAGCCACATGGTTCGTTCCTGTACCACCACGCCAGGCATCAGGCAAGCAAAGTCTCTTTATCCCTTCGCCCCGAACCTGCCTGGACAGGACCCGATTTCGGAATACCTTGGTTTAGGGTTTAGGGATGTTTAGGGTTTAGCAGACTGCAGAGACTGAAGCTTGGATTTCAGATCAGATGGCGGCTAGACCAGACCCCTTCTACCGGAGCGAGCACGTTCCAGACCAGTCAGAAGCTCCTCTGCGTCCTTGCCGAGAGGCTAACCCTACACCCTGAACTCCAAACCCTAAACCCTAAACCCTAAACCCTAAACCCTAAACCCTAAACCCTAAACCCTACAAACACGGGCGCCAGGCTCAGGGGGTTACCACAGAGGCCCCAAGCCTCGCAACCCCACGGAGCTCGAGGTTCAGACGGGGCTCGGCGGTTTCAGCGAGGCACCATCTTGGTCAGTTTTGGGGTTTAGGGTTTAGGGTTTAGGGTCTAGGGTTTAGGGTTTAGGTTAGGGTTTAGGGTCTGACTCATGGTGACATGGGTGAATAGGACAGTTTGCGTCAGATTGCATGATGTGACTTTTGACAAATTGCATGTTGGCCGGCAGTCGGAGCATCTGGAAGTTTTCGATTTTGGGGTACCTAGTACCTAGCCACGAGTGCTGGCTCGGCCCTTAGTTTCAAGTACCCGGCAGCCCGTGACCACAAACGATGGCAGAGTATAGGAAGTACCCAGAAACCCCAATACCCCTTAGTTAAGGAATATTCCTTAAACCATATAATTAGGGAACCCGGGTATGTTTCAAGACATATTCCTTAATTAAGGGGTATTGGAGTCCCTGCGTATATGCGAGCCCTCCGACGTACCTCCGAACAGTCACATGTCAACTGGGATGCGGTGATGGGGCTTGACCTCTCACATGTAAATAATTTTGTATGTATATGAAATGATTTTGACATAAAACCCTAAACCCCAAACGACACAAGTACAAAGAGTGCACAAACATGGATTGGAAGGTTCGCCTGCGTGTTGCAAAGGGTTTATGCAGGACTTCGTGCTTCAGCTTGATGGCAGTGAGCATTCCGTCCCTGCCCCAGTGTGAGGCCTCCAAACCCAATTGCAGAAACCTACGTAGCAAGACGTCTCTTGGCAGAGCTCTTGGACCCATCTCCGCCCGAAGCAGCTTCTGTGCCTGGTGTTGTGACCCTAATCCCGAAACCCTAAACCCTAAACCCTAAACCCTAAACCCTAAACCCTAAACCCCAAACCGGATGACTTGTCTGAGGTCGATGCAGTGGTTGGCGAGTATTTGCGGGTCGGCCATGTCGGGACAGTCCGGTCCGGTGGGTGTATTGGGTTCATCCTAGGGTTTAGGGTTTAGGGTTTAGGATTTAGGGTTTGGGGTTTAGGGTTTGACTGAGCGCCTGTGAGAGAGAGAGGGGTTTAGGGTTTAGGATTTAGGGTTTAGGGTTTGGGGTTTGGGTTTGGGGTTTCTGGTTTGGGGTCTAGACTACACTTCCGGCCATGTTCCACAAGCCTCTGCGCTACTGTGGGTGCTTGCTTCCTTTGAGTGGGCTTTTGAGCTGCTTGGTGGTGCTTCGTCGGAGGTCACTGAAGGAGGTCATCTCTGGGCGGTTCCAAGTTCTTCAACTCCAGGGCTCCTGCTATTGGTATTTAGGGTTTAGGGTTAGGGTTTTAGGGTTTAGGGTTTAGGGTTTAGGGTTTAGGGTTTAGGGTTTAGGGTTTAGGGTTTAGGGTATGGGGTATTGTGAAGATGGGAGTCGGGCTTTGGGCCGAAAAGACGCGGACAAGCTGGGTCAGGGGTGAGGGGTGAGGGTGGGGGGTAAGATGTGCAGGTGTTCACAAGCGAATGCACTGCAACGTGGGCCATCTTGCGAGGCAGCGGGTGTATTTGAACATCGTGCTTCTGATGTTTTTTTGCGGTTCTGTTTTTCGCTCCTAAGGGTGTGAGCAAGTAGATGAAGGTGTTTCTGGTTGCTGTTCCATGTAGGAGTTGTGAGGGAGGTGGTCTGCAAGAAGCGCCTTTGCGCGTCTTTCGGCGCCTTTTTGCGCATCTTACAACTCTCCAAAGGACATTGCTGAGCCCTGCGGAAGTTCCGAGAGGGCTTAAAGAGAGGCTCAAAGAGGCTTAAGGAGGCTTACTTAGAGAAGGCAGAGCTGCACTATTATTATTATTATTATTATTATTACTATTCTTATTATTAGTATTATTAGTACTACTATTATTATTACTATTATTATTATTATTATTATTATTATTGTTACTATGCGTAAATTGGGATCGGAGAAAGAAAGGGCTTGGAGGCTCATAAAGAGGCATCGGCGAAGCCGACAAAGCAAAAACAAACTGCCTCCGGAAGGGAGTCTTACAGGCTGATCTGGGCTTAAGAGGCTTTCCCGCAGAAAGAGAGGCTTGAACACACGTTTGCAGCCTACTTCCCTTGGGCTAGCCTAGAAGAATCGGCTTCCATTTCACACGTCGAGACGCCATGTCTGCTGGGAGACAACAACACGTTTCGCATTACGTTCTCGGAAGTTTCAAGGTGTCCATGCCGAATCGTCCCATTTCTGACCCCCTGCTGGCAGGTGTGTCTTACGCAGAGGCCAAAGCAGATCGGCAGGTGCAGAGTTGGGATTGAGCCGGGCAACTCATAACCCAAACTTGGAGGTTCGGGGCACTTAGTCAGTAGGGATATAAGTACCCTAGTTGGGATTCTAAGTAACTATAAGTATAGTTACCTTACTTATAACCCCACTTACTAAATCCCCTGATCCTTTTAAATAGGGAGTCCTAAACCAGCCTCAGCCGCAAACCCCTCGCACCTACAAATCCCCTGGGCCCAAACCTCATCAACACACCCTTGACCGCTTAATGAGGCCTGGTGGGTCGGAACCCTCGGGTTTAGTAGGGTTTAGGGTTTAGGGTTTAGGGTTTAGGGTTTAGGGTTTAGGGTTTAGGGTTTAGGGTTTAGGGGGCAGAAGCCCCCCAGGAAACTCAAGAGCCCTCAACACAAAATCATAGCCCTGAAGTGGCTAGGCCTGTCTGGCCAGGACTTCATGGCCCGCATTGCCAAAAAAGGGTTCGGGGTTTGGGGTTTATGAGCGCAACCCTAAACCCGAAACCCTAAACCCTTAGCCCGTAACCCTAAAACCTAAATCCTTGACCCTACGATCTTGGGCGTTGGCCCCTAAACCCTAACCCCTAAACCCTAAACCCTAATTAAACCCTAAACCCTAAACCCTAAACCCCAAACCCCAAACCCCAAACCCTAAACCCTAAACCCTAAACCCTAAACCCTAAACCCTAAACCCTAAACCCTAAAAGGTGCAGGTCGGCCAAATCCAGGACTTTGAGAATCTGTGCAATACTTCCTCTTTCGAGGCCAGGTAGGGTTCAGAAGGATCAGGTTCCTAGGGTTTAGGGTTTAGGGTTTGGGGTTTAGGGCTGAGGGTCTGGGGATTAGGGTTGCAGGGCCAGGAATAAAGTTGGAAGTTCAAAAGGGTTCAGGTCGGTATTCTGCAAAGCGGCCTGCCCTGGGCTTTTGCAAGTTCTTATGGCGGGCTTGTGTTAGCCCTGCATGCCTCTAAGCCCTTCTTCAAACCACGAATGATCGAACCGACCCCCTCTCGTTGTTGGCGGAGGCTTTCCTCATTGCCAAAGGCATTGTCAGGGATGTTTCGCTTCGCCAGTGGGAGGCCAGACAGCTGCTTGTAAAACTTCAATGGATTTCTTAGCAGGGTGTGTGTGTGTGTGTGTGTGTGTGTGTGTGTGTGTGTGTGTGTGTGTGTTTGTCTGATACCCCGTTCCTCTGAAATTTGCCCTCCGAGTTCGGAGCGCATTTCGGAGCTTGGGGCTTGGGATTTGCAGTTTGGAGTTCAGGGTCCTTTGGGCCTTAAGGCCAGAGACCTGGCCCGGAATCTTTCCTACACTATGTGGTTGGATCCAAGGCGCTTTAGGCCAGAAACTTGATTACCTGAAGCCTTCCTCTTTGAGCCCGCGAGAGGCAGCCACCGCAAAAAACAGCAAACAAAAACAAACCGTATACCCTAAACCCTCAACCCTAAACCCTAAACCCCAAACCCTAAACCCTAAACCCTAACCCCTAACCCCTAACCCCTAAACACTGCCAGAAACCTTGCAACCTCGGATCGGGCCGTCCCGGAGCTCAACATGATACCCCCGAGCCTCCGAACATTGATTCCTAAACCCTCAAACCACCTAGACGGGTGACAAAAAACTCTGAAAACCCTAAACTAGCGAGGCCGGTGGCAAAAAAAACGCCCCAAGCCCTGAATCTAAACCCTAAACCCTAAACCGTAAACCCTAAACCCTAAACCGTAAACCCTAAACCCTAAACCCTAAACCCTAAACCCTAAACCCTAAACCCTAAACCCTAAACCCTAAACCCTAAACCCTAAACCCGCCTCGAGTCCGAAACACTGGGGTCGAAAACCCTCAACCCAGATATCTGGATCCTTCACCTACCGCGTGCCAGCGTGAAACCCGAAGCCTAAACCGTTGGCGAGGTGGACGTTGGCTCGGGCTGGCAGCCCTACAGCCCAGGCGCCCCCTTATATAATGTACATAAAGATATATACAATAAACGTGTATGTGTATGTATAAATCAAAGTCCTTAATTTAATTCAATAAGCCATAGTTGTGATGCCACTCACATCATGATCGGCAGAAGCGGATGCCCAGAAGCCCTGCGCATCCTAAACCCTAAGCCCCAAACCCCTAAAAACTTCCTAGACCCCAAAGTTCCTAAGTTCCGAGGCCCTCATGTTCCAAAAAACTCCTAAAGACTTCGGGGCCCTGCGTCCTACACAGCCCTAAACCCTAAACCCTAAACCCTAAACCCTAAACCCTAAACCCTAAACCCTAAACCCTATACCCTAAACCCTAAACCCTAAACCCTAAACCCTAAACCCTAAACCCTAAACTCGGATTCCTTTCGGCGATCATCCGATAAAATTGGAACGATACAGAAAAGATTAGCATGGCCCCTTGCGCAAGGATGACACGCACAAAAAAGCCCTAAACCCTAAGCCCTAATCCCTAAGCCCTAAGCCCTAAGCCCTAAACCCTAAACCCTAAACCCTAAACCCTAAACCCTAAACCCTAAACCCTACCCCCTTCACCCCCCCCCCCCCCCCCCGAAGCTGCAGGGGTCAGTCAGAGCATCGAGCTGGCCCGGCTCGCTCAGAAGTCGCACTGTCAAGCTTCTGCCTCGGAAGAATTTGGGTTTAGGGTTTAGGGTTTAGGGTTTAGGGTTTAGGATTCAGGGTTTAGGTTTAGGGTTTAGGTTTTAGGGTTTAGGGTTTGCTATGAGTCTGGGCTCAACAAAAAGGTTTGGGGGTTCTTACATTCTTTGCACATACTTCGGGGTCACTCAAGGGAGGTGTTGAAGGGAACTTCTGTCTGGGAAGAGAGCTGGAGAATCAGGGTTTAGGGTTTAGGGTCTTTACGTGGTCTCTTGCATGCTCGCGTGATCTCGCGTGCGAGACTTGCGTGTGCTTGAGCTGCTAGCACTTGGAGATTACAGAAGAGGTTCGCAACCGAGGGTTGTTGGAACATAGCAGTCGTCCCCTTATATGCACCTCTTTTTTTCTCATCGGATTCCTTAAAGGAAGTCTCTCAATTCGCCAGATTCCCTTAGCCCCAAAGCCCGCTGATTCGGGAGGTTACTGTGCAGCCTTTTGAGTACATCATCGACTTGCGGGAACAGGCAGCAGCAGATATGCCCTTGCCTTGACCCGAGCTGCGAAAGACATTCAGCATGAGCTTATATCGAATGTCCCATCGGGCATCCTCCGCATAGGTCGTTGCCTCGACAGTGTAGGTTTGCGTAGGCTCTCATAGGTTTTAGGAAGCGATGTCTCAAATTACTCCCTGGCGGCTCCATAGGACGTGAAGTTTGAATCCCCTTGCTTTGGTTGCTGCTGTGGGGTGTTGACAAGAACACCTAAACGGTTTTCGCTGGCCTTCTCACCCAACCGGACGCATACCTTGGCCTCAAGCGTGCTTGCAATGTCACAATGTAGACGTCGGACTACACTGTGGTAGACTGGTTCTTAGTGGATCAGGGGGCTTAGTAAGTAAAGTTATTTCTGACCCCAATGAAGGTGCTTGTATCCCTACTTACGAAGTGCCCCGATCCTCCAAGTAGACCGGTTGGCATCCCGCACCTTCTCAGCACTTCTTGAACCCCAAACCCTCAACCCCAAGCCCTAAACCCTAAACCCTAAATCCCGAACTTTAAACCCCGCAACCCTAAGTGGCGCCTTCTCGACTGGCAGGTGCAGATGAACAGGCAGACTGGCAAGGCGGGTTCGCAAGGTTTAGGCTACATTTTTTTTTTGGGGGGGGGGGGGGGGGGGGGTTTATGGGGTTTACAGGGTTTATGGTTTTGCAGGGATTGTAGGCTTTATAGAGTACATGGGGTTTCGGTAATTAGTGTGTCGATATCATCCCCTTATGTACTCCCCATCGTCGTATAAATACTCAAAGTGCCTATTCTATGGATGGGGCCCCTACAGCAGTCAGTTATTGCCAATTAGCTGTTGCTTTGCATCTCTGTGTTCGCTTGAGCTTAGGGTTTAAGTAAGGGACCATATTAAGGGACCTTGTCACTAGTTCTGCATGGATGGGACTATTCCAGCTCTGCTTGTAGTGGAACAACCCGGCGAGTCTTGAACTCCACCATCGGGGGGGATGCAGCCCCAATCATTGCATACCCTCCTGAAACACTATATGCATCTACCGTGTACGTGTCTGAAACATTCTGAACTAAAAACATAAATATACCTGTATGTACAGTGTATAGTTTTCTATATGTGATGTAGGAAGCCTTCCGCAAACGTTCCATGAAGGAGTTCCGTGTCATATTTGCTACACGATAACAGTCGGGCGACGTCAGGTTCGCCCAATCAGATGGGTGGAGGTGCCCAAAGATGTGCCAGGCCACTCCGGAAATCGGCGTCCCTGCTGCCTAAAGCGTCCTGAAGAGCTAGGGGTTCCGTTGTAGGATTGAGGGTTGTTGAAAGTCCTGGTGCTTTGTGTCATTGTGGCTTCGGGAATACAGGGGCTGTGAAGCAACACGTGGCAAGGCCTCCGAAGCAGAAGCACGTGTTCATGCCGAGCTGGCAGCGTGTTGGTGCCACTACATAGTCCTGTGCTGTTTGTCATCGAAGGTACCAAAAGCATGCTGGCTGCTCATGCTCTTGCTCATGCTTACCACCCTCGCTCTGCACTTTCCCCAACCCCCAGAAAACTAAAGCCTGCGTAGACCGTCATTGCCTGCAGGCCAGTTCAGCATGCAGGAAGTGCAGGCCGTGAGGGGGCTCAGGGTCGCACTTCTGTTCGTGGCCATCTTCATTCGAGTTCACACTGCTATGCGTCGAATTTCGTCTGCCGTCTCATGCCGCACAAGGCTCAGCGAATCCCGTTGGGCCCCTTCCTAGTCCAAGCCTGCTGGGATTCGTCCTTGTTCTCCCCCGACGTGTGCTTGTCCGTTTGACTGCTCGACTCTCCCCCTCTCTCGCTCTCTCTTTCTCTCTCTCTCTCTGCGTGTCTGTGTCTTTCAGTCTCTCAGTCTCTCTCCCACTCTCTCTCTCCCCCCTCTCTCTTCCTCCCTCCTTCAGCTGTGCGAAGACATGTTAAAGCACTCTCCCATCCTCCCAGTGTCCCAAGCAGGGGGCCATCTCCAAGTTCGCAGAGCTCCAGACGATCGCAGAGGTGGGCCCACATGCAGGGTTTAGGGTTTAGGGTTTAGGGTTTAGGGTTTAGGGTTTAGGGTTTAGGGTTCAGGGTTTAGGGTTTAGGGCCTCCAGCAGGGCTGAGGTGCTTGAGGGTTCATGGGGTGACCGGGTTCACGGTTCACTACAGCTACCACTCACCCCAAACCACAAGCCTGAAGCTAAACTCGATAAGCCCCAACCCCGAAACCCTAAACCCCAAACCCTAAACCCTAAACCCTAAACCCTAAACCCTAAACCCTAAAGTGAAGAGGTGGGTAGCCACCCCTTTGAGATCCGGACGGAACCCGAAGATTTGGCGCAGCCGGGAGCCGCAGCTCGGGAACGTGAGGGACCACTTTTGCGCAGAGGGGTCTTAGGGTTTAGGGTTTAGGGTTTGGGGTTTAGGGTTTAGGGTTTAGGGTTTAGGGTAATGTGAATCTATCAAAGCACAGATATCGAAAAGTCATGACTCCAACAGCACGGACCTCAGGTGTTTGAGCAGTGTCATGTGCGGCCTGCAGAGTTGGGTTGTACGAGCAGATGGGGAGATGTCGGTGCAACTAAGAAATATGCCAACTTCCGGGCTACTTAGGGATAGTTAAGTCTAAATACTTGAGGGGTCGTAGGGAAGCCCATGATGCAAAGTCCTTCAAGCCTCAGGCCGCCCAAGACATTGTTCTCATCCTCGCGCCATGATGACATTGACCTGCCTTCGCCCCAGAAGATCTGCATGGGAGCGGATGGGAGCCGGGGGTGATGGAGGTGATCAGATTCGTGGTTCTGATGGAGGTAAGGCTGGCAAGAACTGCTCTTGTTTCAGACGCAAAAGAGGACCCTCTCGGTAGATTTGGAACGCATCCCCCGCCGGTTTCCGATTGGTAGGCTGGATGCCACAGCGGGGGACTGGGTTGTGTGCTGGCTGAGTTTGGGTTCTTTGCATGTTCTCCCCCCGAGGTACTAGTCTGGCGCTGGGCGAGATGCAGGCTGCAGACATTTCTGAGCGGGGGAGCGTGTGTCCGGTTTCTGAGTTTGGTCGATGCTTGAGCCATAACAATGGCCAGCGAAATTTCCAGCTTTGCACGGCACGGCTCTATGCATGCCAGATACTCTAAACGGGGAGGCCGGTGTGTCTGAGCTGCTGTTTTTCCGCCTTCTGGCATTGCACGCGGCAGCTACGGTTTCACCAGTAGTGTGGCACTCCAGCACGTGATCGCTTGTGCTGCTTTGCTTCCGCTTGTCCTTCAAGAGAGTCTGGAACAGGATTCTGGTCGAGAGAGTTAGAGTTAGAGTTGGCGTGACGCCGTTCTTGCTGGTCTACGAACTGAGGGCCCAGAGGACTTGCAGGAAAGGCGACGAGTTGCTTGGAAGATGTCTACGGCGCGACTTTGCGCAGCAGTGGCAGCTGGTTATTCTGTTTCGCTGGCCTGAACTCAGGCGTTTTCCGACAGTTGCTCACTGCAGCTGCGCAGAAATGGTGCAAGCATGCTTGGCCAGGCGCGCGGCACGACACCATGTCACCAGCAAGCCGAACGACATGCTGTCCTTTGGCATGTTCACAAGATGTTGCTGACATTGGCCTCATGGTAGTTGACTCTGTCTCAAGTTGAGTTTAGTTACGTGGGTAGACACATACATCTACACACACACACCCTTGTGTGCAAAAGGTCTATATACATATGTCGGGTAGTCTAGGCAGCTACTCGGTGCCTTTTCCAAGCCCCGGCACAGCTGAAGCGCATCAGCGTGACGCGCCATGTTTGCGAGCAATGCTGCGAATGCCATGCTGGCGCGGTTGGGGGGGTTTAGGAACCCGAAAGGCCCAATGCCCAATACTCCTTGATTCAAGAATACGCCTCATTTCACAAAGGACCGGTACGTAGCTTAAGGCATACTTGAAGGTTCATGGTACTTACTAACCAATTATAACTGGGCTTATAACCCTACTTATGATTGGGATAACCCCTATGTATCGGGCTCCCTGACAGGCCTGTTTGGGGTTTAGGGTCAAGTTGATTGGACTTTATTGATGTCGCATAGGAATTGGTTGACATGCTCTGTGCCTGCGCCATCTGACGTGTCCCAAAAAACCCTGGGTTGCCAGCCTTTTTGGAGGCCTATTTGCCCCTGAGCCAGGTAAGCCTTACCCATCTGCACCCGTGTAGCTGAATCCAGTGGGCGTAGTGCAAGTGACTGGGAGCTCGCTTGGCACAAGAGGCCCAAGGGTAACTTGCCACAAGTGGTGGATATCTGATGGTTTTTCATCATGGGGTGCAGTGGATAATCTGCAAGTGCAGAAATGACTGTCACTTTCTTGGCTTTGTGGCTGACGATGGTTTTGATTCTGATGCTCAGGACTGGGCGCCTGGCGTTGCGCATAGCTCAGTGGGTAGCAAAAGCTGTGCACATCTTACAGCCAGGCAGTAGCGGGAAGGATGTGCTTAGGGTTTAGGGTTTAGGGTTTCGGGCATGAAGCAGCTTCCAGGTTCAAAAGGGTTTCGGGTTTAGGGTTTAGGGTTAGCTGCGTGCTTGAGATGCAACTGAGAGTGGGTGGCACATCGTTGTGGACTTGCAGTGCCTGTATGTCTAGGACGCAGAGTTGCCAGAGTCGAAGCCACAGACTCCCATACCCATTCGTGAAGAAATGCTCCTTCAAGTGTGATAGGGATCCCGAATGCGATCTAAGGCCTACCTGACTCCTTAAGTACGTTTGTTCATCATCCCTGCGATATGGATTCGCCCCAGCTGTGCAGGCGGGAAAAATCTACGATGTTTTGGAACTGAATGAAGCCCACCCGTAGGGCTCCAAGTATACAAATAACACCTAAGTGGGAGTCCAAAGTCTGTAAATCATACCTACTTTGGGCTAGTTGGAGCCTTACGGTACACCCCCCAGCAAGGCTTGCGTCACTGGCTGCCGTTGCGGCCGACGCACAAAGTGTCGGCCCTTGGGGGAAAGGGTACGGTTTGCCGGGTGACTGGCTCTTGTCTGGCAGTTCAGGGCTACTACATATTGGTAAGAGTGCCTTTTTCCTCGTGTGAATGTTGAACACTAGCAAATTAAAATGCCTCTTCGGCTTAGTTGGCAGATCACTCGCTTAGTAAGCCAGAGGTGTATTCGGTAGTTGGGAACAGCGAGGCGTCTTATATCTTAGTTGGGGTCTGTGGGTACCTGCCTGCCAAGGTCTGGCGTGCCTCCAAAATCCAGCCAAGAAGCTCGTGCGAGCCCCAAAGCTCCACAAGTTTGCATTGCCACTGTTGTCGCAGGTTGTATGTGTGTGCGGGTGTGTGTACACTTCTGATTGCAAAGGATCAAGAATAAAAAGCAGGGGGACAGCGAACATGTTGTGAGACGCTCACTTCATGTTGTGATGCATCTTCGGACGCGAAGGTGTTTACCTACCAGGGGACAGAAACTTCATCCCCATGATGCCGTTGTACATACGACTCCTTCGTAAGAGGGT